TCTGCAGTTGTCTTTCTTTGTGTCTTGCTTGTGTACTTTGGACAGCATACTATCAGCAGTCAAAGCAAGGACAGTTTCTTGCCCTATAGACTAGCATAAAGTCTAAAGAAAGTAAACACCATATGGAGTTTCTTCAAGGCCCCTTTTTAGAAGTAGATTGGTGCCACCAGGAGCAGATCTGTCTAATGTCAAGAAACATTAAAATAAAAACAATAAAACATTTTATAAATCATATTTTATAGGTCTTTGGAATGTTTGAAGATTACCTATATATTCGAAATATATCTGTGTATGACCTTTAAAACAGACTCAACATGACAATAAGTTTGATTATTATGGGTGACTGTTAATCTGTATTTTTAATTATACATTACAATTTTAAATGAGTTGCATAAGCACAGTACCTAAAACAAGAGTAGAAATATACATATAGTCTAACAAAGTTAACTTTAAATTTGTATTAAGAAACCAACATGCATACCAATGAAAAGTATTTAAGATTAATAGTTAGGTTTTTAGATTAAAGTAGATTCCATAATATACTCTTTTATTCTAACATTTCTATATCCCCACTTTTCAGAACAAGATCCCTGAAGTCAATCTTTAGCTTTTTTTCCTGACCATTACCAACAATAACTTGCAAACAAACTTCCTTAAATGATAACAAATATCCATAATCCATTTTTTGGGAATGTGGATGTAGTTTTCTATACTACTTTCTGTGGATTGGAGATGTTGGTAATCTTTGGGAGATTCTGAGAAAATTCAAGATTGTGGTCAAGTTCTTACTGGAGTATTCTGTGAGACTGGATCATCTCAGCCAGCAGCCTTGAAGCTGTTCTGAATGTAGAATTCTGAGGAGACTGTAACAGAGACATTTTGAGATGTTGCATCACCCGGACCATCCACTTTCATTGGTATATGGTACCATTGCTCTGAAAATACATAAACTTTCAAAGATAACATATGTGTATTAATACAAGTATAGATTACGTAAGTCAGCTAAAGATGATTTTTTTGTTTATGTTTGAGCAAGTAAAATATACATCATGTGTCTTCAAGTTCTTTTAGGTTTATTTTTTGTTTTTATGTCTGTAGTCGGGATTTTAGGGGGTCTTCCTAGATCAAACCTGACTTTTTGGAATTCAGAATGAATCCACAGTCAATGAAAGCATAACCTCTCTCCCAAATAACACAACTTTTGACTTAAAATTTGAAGTCAAGATATCTTCAAATTATACAGATTGGTTGAATCTAGAGTTTTTGTAATCTAATACTTCTTAGCAGCCAACACAATAACATACAGGATCCAGACTCTCTGTGATCCTTTACGTGGCTTATTTTTGAATTATTTTAGTAACTTTTTAAGGACTTCATTTTTTATTTTAAAATTATATTTTTATTTATTTATTTTAATTTAAATTAGAAACCAGCTTATTTTACATGTCAAACCCAGTTCCGTCTCCCTCCCATGTCCCCCACTGACCCCCTATTCCATCCCCTTTCTACTCCCCAGGGAGGATAAGGCCTTCCATGGGGATCCTCAAAATCTGTCATATCATTAGGAGCAGGGCCTAGGGCCTCCTCCATGTATCTAGGCTGAGAGAGTATCCCTCCATGTGGAGTGGGCTCCCAAAGTCCGTTTGTGTACTAGGGATAAATACTGATCCACTACCAGAGGCCCCATAGATTAACCAGACCTCCAAACTAACATCCTCGTTCAAGGGGTCTGGAACAGTTCTATGCTGTTTTCCCAGCTATCATTCTGGGGTCCATCAGCTCTCCCTTGTTCAGGTCAGCTGTTTCTGTGGGTTTCTCCAGCCTAGTCTTGACCCCTTTGCTCATCACTCCTCCCTCTCTGCAAGTGGGTTCCATGCTTTCAGCCTAGTGTTTTGCTGTGGGTGTCTGCTTCTGCTTCCATCAGCTCTAGGATGCCATATAAGGTAGTCATCAAACTCATTATTGAGGAAGAACATTTAAGGTAGCCTCTGAACTATTGCTTAGATTGTTAGTTGGGGTCAACCTTGTAGATCTCTGGACATTTCCCTAGTGCCAGATTTCTCTTTAAATCTATAATGGCTCCCTATGTTATCTAAGACTGTTTTTTTTTTTCTTTCTCCTGAGCCAATGCACATTTTCAAACACACTATTACCCATTTCAAGGCTCTTTTTGTGTTAATCAGTCCTTACTGTACACCTGTAACCTTTTCTGTCTGCATGAGCAAAATACGAAATCAACCAACCAAACAAAAATAACTGCCATGTAACTTAAATCATGGCATGCTCTTTCTAACCTGCTAGCCTACCTGGAGGCTGTGCAGTGTGCTCCAGGTTCCATGTGAACTGTTACCCATGCTGGGGAAGGCTTTGGTGATGTAACTGACTTTGAGTCATTTCTACTCCTCTAAGTAACCCCTTACCCATACTCCTAAAAGTGAACACCATAAAACTCAATGGTTCATTGAATTGGACTTTGGTAGTACTCACACTTTGGTCTCTTGTGGGATCCTTATCTGTGTTGAGTAAATGTGTATGTTGTGTCTCCCCAGGAAGTATTTGGTTGTACAACACACAGGAATAGTCTCCCTGTACTTTCTATGAGATGATCTCACAGCAGACATGTTTGTCCCCTGGCTCTTACAATCTTTCTACTCCTTCTTCTGAGATGTTCCCTGGGCCTTACCTGAAGGAATTGTGTTGTATCCATTGGATCTGGGCTCCCCACAGTCAATTGATCTTTGCATTATGACTAGTTGACTATCTAAAATGGTTTCAGTTTGCTACAAGAAGAAACTTCTTTGATGTGGGGATGAGAGCTACATTTATCTAAAGATATAAAGACAAGTTGTAGAATGCAGATGTTAGGATTTATGCTGTTCTAGTAAAGTGGTAGTTGTAGGTTCTCCTGTAAGGTCTATGACCTCACTAGCCCCAGGTAGTTGGCAAGGTTCCTAGTATGAGGCATAATTTCCCTCCTATGGGAAATGGACCTAAAGTCCAATTAGACTGTTGTTGTTTAGCACTCAGATATGAGTGCTACTATCGTACCTTTAGGGATATCTTGATTGTTACTCATTATTGTGGTTCTTAGGTGCCACAGCTGGCTGGGTAGGACTATTTATGGCTTCCCTCCCTCCCCAGGCAGATGGTACAGTGAAAGCTAGCCCACAGGAAGGAGGTTTCAGATTGGGTATAGCTTTTAAGATAAGATCTGAGTCCTGTGTCCAAAGTGTGTGCTACATTCAGTAATGGGAATTTACCTTCAGCTTCTGGGAGGCAACCAAGGGTACCACCAATAACCTGCATCATTTCGAGAATCACATGGACCACCCTGAACAACACAAATGGAGGTTTCTCCTGTCTTGTGTTGGAAATTTTGTCAGATAGTCTATGGATCTTGTGGAGTGTATTGTCAGCACAAGAGGCAGGGCTTATACATACATGCAACCCCTATACTCAAGACTCAGGAAACATCACAGAAAAAGGAGCAGAAAGAGTGCAAAAGCCAAAGGACCAGGAACCCTTTTGCAAGAGAATATCTTTTAATATGGCAGGAAAGATACACTCATGAAATCTAAAATAATGGCTTGCTGCATGAACAAGATCTGATTAATGGCAAAATCAGTTGACATGCTAAGGTCTCAGATGCCTCCACTCCAGACAAAGCACTTAAGGTCTGCTGAGAGTGTGAATTAGTTTTCCCAAGGGTGAGACCCCTAATTAGTTAAGTGACATGGTCAGCCCTAAATACACATAGACACATGTGACCATAGACACAGACACAAACACCTATGCAACACACACACACACACACACCCCACACACACACACCTGCACACACATGCAAACACACAACAGCAAACAAACTCAGTAAGTTATAAGTGTGTGTGTAGTGTAACAGCAATAATTAAAGAAAAGAAGGTCATGAATTTGAGATTAAACAGTAGGATGGACACAGGAGGGGTTCTGGGAAGACAGGAAGTAGAGAAATGATGTAAATAGGATATACTTGTGAAATTAAACACAAGTGTGTGAGAGGTGGGATGGGAAAGTACTGTGATAAAAAGAAACAAGTTAACTCTGTGAAAAACAATCCTTGGTTTCCATTGCTCTCCCTTCCTTGGTGAATAGCAAAGAGCAACGCCAAATGTAGAGGCATTCCAGTCTGCAAGCAGAATTCACTGAGGCAGAAAGGGCATTCTAACTCTACTGTTCATGATAACCTGCATAAAACCAAATGAAACCAAACCAACCAAACAAACAAAAGAACAACCTTGGAGGCTCCCTTAAGCCCAGTGGGGGTAGTTTGCATAGGAAAGTCACAGAACTGAGAAAACGGTACAGCATTTGAGCCCGAGCTCCTTCTCGAAAAAAGCAGTTGGCAGCCATAAGCAGAAAGACAGACAATTAGTTTGGTTCACTTGGTCATGTTAAAGGGACTTCAGAGCCTCATACCAGCTTAGTCAATGTGTTACCTTGCCAATCCCCATGGGAAATTTGTTTCCCCATCTCTTGGGTAAGAAAGTTACTGATGAACTGGGGATGAATGTATCATTTTTGAATCAAGCTTTCTCAAAAAGATATTGTAAAGGAGCAGCATGTAAGTGGTATGAGACTATCTTCCCTTAGAAGAAAATTCAGAAGAACTACTAACAGCGTAATACTTGAATTAAGGAAGTAAGCCGTGGCACTGACTTTGAACAACTTCTTTTTTTTTTTTTTTTAACTTCCTGCAAAGAGGACCTTTACAGTATTTTTGGAGAAGTTAGTAAAACCGAATCTGACATCACCATTTAGCAGTGCACGCTGCTAGAGGTGGTTTGTTCTTAGGGTAACAGAGAAGGAAACCTGCTCCCCATCTGATAAGACAGTGCAGGGTATGCACTCATTTCTTTTATTTTGACTTAGCTTTCCAGAGCCAAACTTCTAGAGAGATAACCACTATTTTGCCTTGCAGGGGGACGCGTGCCATTTCTTAGGGACACAGCTGATCTCCAGATATGACCATGTATTTGTGGCTCAAACTTCTGGCCTTTGGCTTTGCCTTTCTGGACACAGAAGTGTTTGTCACAGGTAAGCACTTGGATATTAACGTTTACTTCCTTGAATTTTGTTCCTTTTTTGGGGAAAGCTGATTTGAAATGGATATTTTTAAACGTTGTGTGATGGAGTCTGAAAGTAAGAAGGCCCCACTACTCTGTGGTCAAGATTGTGGCTCAGAGAAACAAGGCCTACGGCAGGGCAGCATATGCTGTTTCTGTTCAAAAGACAAACATTCTGGGGGAAGAAGACATGTTTAGTAAGAAAGCTGCCTCGGTCTTTCTCTTAGCCAGCTGTTTAAAGATGCTACTAAAGCAATAAATAGACTTGCATATACATCTATGAGAGTAAGAGAAATTGTTAAATAAGTCATTTTTTATGTTTTTGAGCAAAATATGGATGGTTTAAAAGTCATGAGATAGCTTTGGGTGTGCGTAAGCCAGTCTCTTCAGATAGGAGGTTGCTTCCTCAAATGTTGATGGTTATTAAAATGGGGTCTCTAATGCTTGGCTGCAGAAATGCTCAAAGATGAGTTACATGCTTTCAAAACTGCTAACTTTTCACGTTGTCTTATCAAAGAATGAATATTTAAATTAGTTATTTTAGTTTCTCAATAATGGTTCTAATGAATTTTGCTCTGGAAATTCTGGTTAGAGCTGCCGCCCTTCCTGGGTGATGGGTGGATAGCTATATAACACAGCCCCGATGAGGTAGAAATATTAAAGTTCCCAGGAATCACAAAACACTGTGTCCTTGTTTACTTGCTTAACTTCAAGATCTTCCCACACTTCTGGTCTGTTCAAAGATATGTCTTGAGTAGCTTCAGCTTAGGATGTGAGTTTTGTTGATTATTAAGTGATTAATAGATTATTTCTCCACATAATATTTAACTTAAAACTCATTGACAATGACTCTTTGTAGACATTTCGAGATACTTTTAAATAGGAAAAAATTAAATCTAATCAGAATTCAATTTAAATTTTTTTCTTATGTTTACTATTCTCATTTTCTTTGGGAAGACTGGACACCAATTAGCTGCTGAATATGTCATACGGTGAATTATGCTCTTGGTTATCTATAGGCTTGGAAAAAAATACAGCCTGAGATAACTTTTTGTTATTATTATCACAGTAAGTTTGTTTTGCTTCTTAATTGGAAAGATGAATTTTAAAAAATCTACTTAGGCCAGTTGTGAATTTATTTGGCTTAGGTTTTCAACATAAAAATGATTTTTAAAAATTCATAGAACTACAGAATCTTGTCATAATGTACAAACTACTTCTCATGTTATCATTCCTCTACGATTTTTGTTATAAGCTAAAGGAAATTAAGAGGAAGAACTTAAGGTTGTTTATATGCATTTTTATCATCGATTAGCATATTTCCACTTGTAAGTCCCTTCTCATGGTAAATTACTTATTCTTCTCTAAGTGAGTATGAAAGAACCTTGGGATACCTTCAGGTCTCAGAGCAAGTCACCCTTAAAGTTTTAAATTAGGTTACTTAGGTTTTTTTTTTTTTTTTTTTTTTGCAGAAGAAGTATATTTGAATTTATCATCAAAATGTGTAAAAAGGGATCTAAAAACCTTTAAATCATCCTTGCTTAATATTTTGTTCTATAAATAAATAGATATAGACAATTAATCAACATACAGATGATGGATAGCTGATAGTTGATAGAAAGAAAGATTTTGAAAGATCAGGTTTATCATGATTGCTCCCATAATACTGAGGGTAAATTCTTCTCTACAGGACACTGACATGTGTACTTATTGTTGGAAATACACACACACACACACACACACACACACACACACACACACAATAATTATTTACATTAGAAAATAGTGCTTAGCATTTCCAGACACATTTTTAATTTAGTTTATATACTTGAGAATGTATTAAAGCTTTCAAGTTTATTTATTAAGAAACAAATGACTTAGATCCCACATTTTATCTTCTTGTGCTAAATTAACTCAGTATCTGTAGGAAATAAACTTTCAGGCAACAACATTTTATTACATGCCTTAGAAAAATAAAGAAGTACCATAAAATATAAATGAGGCATGGGTGGAAAATACACACCACTCAAGCATGTTATTTAACTTCCTAAATCCACATGAGACCTATGTAAAATTTAAGTTCTTCCAAGCCAACAGTAATGCTGTGTTCATATTTATAAAATATCTCTGATCCTTTTGCTGTCTGCCTCTTTGTCATGGCAGCTGGACACAGGATGGTTTCTCAAAAGTTCTAAATAATTCTAGGACACAGTGATGGAGGAGACAGTACAGGTAGGGTGCAGGTTTTCTACCTCTCATCAAGTCCTAATGCTAGCCCTATCTGCCACCCATCATCTAACGGCTAAAAGTGTCTTCAGTTTTGCCCTGAAGAGTGTGCAGTGAGTTCTGTTATGAGTCAGAACAGTGAAAATTCATTTCCTGAGCACAATTCTTAATTTTCCATCAGCATTAAAATATCTCATGTAACAAACATGTACTTACTTGATGTACTTGGCCTTATACACCACAAGAATTTGACACAAATTAGGCATTGAATTTGACAACCACTCCTGTTAAGTTCTAAAAATATATCAGGAGAGCCAGGGCTGTGGGAATAACAACTTACTAAGTTACATATTTTTTTATTGTTAAAATGTTTTCTGTGACCCTTGTCAGTGCTACAATGTGAAAAGCATTTTGTTAGAGGAAAGAAAAGGTGGATTGGAAATGAGAGGTTCCTGTCTTGCTTGACACTCTGAACTCAGGATAGGAGTGGTGAACTGCCTACTCCATACGATTTGGTATCTTTCTAACAGAGACCAGAAATGAGTGCAGCATGTAGATGTTTCTACATTGTTTTTGCATACATACCTACACAGAGACATGCATATATAATACATATGCTTAGTGCTTTTTTATTCGTTGTCATCTATCTTGTCTCTGTTTACCGGGTCTCTACACACATTTAGCTGTTCAATACTGTGTTTCTGTGAGCACAAGTGCTCCTTCGGCAGGTTTAGTTTTCCTCAGTCCAGATTATCTCCTCTGTACTTGTGAGAGTCTTTCCAACAAGTATTTTTTTTCACCAGTATGAATCTCGGGGTGTGTGTGGGGGGGTGTCCTGAGATTCACTCATTAGCTGTATTCTCTGTTTTTTTTTTCTTTTTGAAAATTTAAATAAAAAACAAGCTTGTTTTAGATGTCAATTCCAGTTCCCTCTCCCACCCCTCCTCCCCTGCCTCACATCAACCCCCTATTCCCTTTCTGTTCCCCAGGGAGGGTGAGGCCTTCCATGTGGGATCTTCTGAGTCCATCATATCATTTGGAGCAGGGCCTAGACTCTCTCCTAAGTGTCTAGGCTGAGAGAGTATCCCTCTATGTGGAGTGGGCTCCCAAAGTCCATTCCTGTATTAGGGATAAATACTGATCCACTACCAAGGCCCCATAGATAAACAAACCGCCAAACTGACATCCATGTTCAGAGGGTCCTATGCTTGTTTCCCAGCTATCAGTCTGGGGACCATGAACTCTCCCTTGTTCAGGTCAGTTGTTTCTGTGCGTTTCTCCAGCCTGGTCTTGACCCCTTTGCTCATCATTCCTCTGTCTCTGCAACTGGATTTAAGGCTTTCAGCCCAGTGTTTCTGTGGGTGTCTGCTTCTGCTTCCATTATCTACTGAATGAAGGCTCTAGGATGGCATATAAGGTAGTCATCAATCTCATTATCAGAGAAGGGCTTTTAGGGTAGCTTCTTGACTATTGCTTAGATTTTTAGTTGGGGTCATCCTTGTAGATTTCTGGACATTTCCCTAGTGCCAGATTTCTCTTTAAACCTATAATGGCTCCCTCTATTATGGTGTCTCTCTTCTTGCTCTCCTCCATTCTTCATCTGACTCCATCTTCCTGCTTCTTCATGTCCTCCTTTCCCCTCCTCTTCTCTCCCTCTCTTTCTCCCAGCTCCCTTTCCCATTCCCCCATGCTCCCAGTTAGCTCAGGGGATCTTGTGCCTTTTCCCCTTCTCTGGGGGGACCATGCATGTCTCTCTCACTGTACACAATCATGAAATTGATTTTGCAATGCATGCAAATAGTGGGTGTTGGTTTTACTCCAGTCTCCTATTTCGCACTCCTCTTCCTGACTAACTTTCTCTCCTCTGCCCTCCTTTCCTCCCCCTCCCTCTTCCATCTCTCCCTCCCCCTCCTCTCTCTGTTTTCCAATTTCCCATGACTTATTCAAAGAGAACAAGTAGGAGGTGGCTTCGACCTCCAGTTCCCCTGAGTGCTCCAGGCCTTTAAGTTACCATGAACATCCCTTCTGACACTTTCTACCACATTTCCCTGGAATCTGTCAAGGATCATTTCAATTATCTTGATGATGATGGAGATAAATAAACTTGTGTTTTTACTTTGCCTGAACCCCACATGAAAACAGAAACTATGTATTGTATCTTTCTGAAATTCTGTATCTGAGTTTATATCTGAGTTCAGGTTTAGCTTATAAGTATCTTATGGAACTCTCTGATAATACTGTAGATAATAATGACGATGGCTATACAGAAGGAAGAGGGGAAGAACAGAGAGGAGGTGGAGAGGGAGGGGGAACCTCACAGAGGAAGGCCAGAAAGAGAAAATGAGCAAATAACGACAATTAGAAGGCACACTGGGAAAGTGGAAATAGGAATTTTCTTATGATTACATAAATTTATTTTTAATTCATGTGTTTACACTTTGATCCATCTTGGATATTTACCTCTATATTATATCTATTTCATTTGTTGGGATGAATATCCCTGACTTCTTAAAAATGCATGGCTTGAGAATATTTTTCCTTGAAAGGCTCTTGCTAATATCTCGGTGATGAGATTCACTTTTCAGAGAAAGATGCTCTTGGGAAGAGGGGTATAGCATATAGCAGCACTAAACATGTGCATCAGGACAGTCTCTGCAAACGCTCGGTTTGGATGCTCACGTTGCTGGTATGGGTTTCCCTTCAAAGGTGGATGGGAGATACTGGACACACAAAATTTGCCAAGAA